AATCTAAATTTTTCATAAACTCTCTTTTTACTCATTTTTTTTTACCTTTAAAAACAAAAACTCAATTTTCTCTTTAATAAAAACTTAAACTTATTACTCATAACAATACTCAAAATGCAAAAACTATTACAAGTGACACCGAACAGCCCTATGATTCTGAATGGAATAAATTCTTGTTGCAACAATGGTGATGGATGAGACTGAAGTCCGTAGTCAAACTCAAAGGCCAATTTTTTTAAAAAAATATTGATTTTTTATTAATTTTTATTTTAAATTGTATAGTAAAAAGTATCACTTTTATTTTCTTAATTTATTTTTTTTATATATTATATAATTTGAACTTAAGAATTTTTTTTATTATAAAATAGAGATTAAACAATATTGAAACTTTAATTAGTGAAGTATCAGTAATATGATGTTGAAGTGATTTAGATTAAGATGGATAGGTTACTGGGAACAATATTTAAGGAGTAGTTTGAAAGATTATATTATAAATGACAGTAGACCCTAGGACCAATGCGGAAGGCCGAATTTCAATTGAGCTTAGTAGTTGAATCGAGCTTAGTAGTTGAATCGGGCCTCGTGGCCCAATGGTTCGACTCCAATCCTTAAGTGTTTGGGTGAGATGGTTGGAGTTTCGAACTTCATCACCGTCGTGAACTCCACCAAAATACGACCTGATGGCTGTGTGTCTCATTTGGGAAGGTGGAATATTCAACCAGTCTGAGAACCAATTACTAACAATTAACTCACTAACTTCTTAACCATTACCCTTGTCAAAAAAAAAAATAAATTGAGCTTAGTAGTCAGTAGTCCGCCTGAACTGTGAAAATCGGATACACTAAGGCCTAGGATAGTCTGATTTTCTAAATAAAATAGTCATTGGATTTGGTCCTCCGTTTTAACTTCACGATGATTGAATGCTGCGAAGAAGGCTAGTCTATGTATGGGCCTCAGGCCCTAGATGTCCATTTTCTTGGTCCAAACTAAAGTCCACCTCTTGTATATTGGGCAGTTCTTGATGCTTTTTTTTTTCAAAAATTCTGACTGCTCGGTTGAGCCCAAATCGAAGATTGTGGAAGTTGTAAGTGAATTAATAATTGGAACAGACAGGCTTTACAATCCACAAATATTCTAAATACAGTTTTGAGGCATGGAAAGAGCAAAAGAACTAGAAAATTGCCAATCATGGTTGAATGGCGACAATTCTTGTAAAAGATAGAGTAATATCTATAAATTTAAAGTAACAGTAATAAATTTAAGATTTAAATTTTAACAATTCTATTTCCCATCTCTCAATTATACTGATTTTTTTTTTAAAAAAAAGAACTAGAAAATTACTACAGCAATAGTAATACTAAATTGGTGTCGATCTGCTTTGTGAGTGAGTTGGAGAATGTTAGGTAGAAACAATCTAGCATGTGTGTTACATGTATTCCACTTCGATGGGGAAAAAAAAATCTCCTATGTGGGTCTCATATTTTGGTGGCAGGGATAAGAAATTTCTCTCTCTAATTATGGCTGCATTTTCTTTTCAAACGGTAGATATAGAGCTATTATTGAGAGTGGAGGAGTTGAAGATATTAATGACAAAACAACATTTTGAAAGAAATGTGGCGTAGAAAAGGTTCATTGTTATTGCGCTTGGATTGGGATTAATTTGGGACCATATATGAATCTTATTTAACTTTCGTTTTGACGCATCTGAAAATTATCACACACAAAATGAAAATGTAAGCAATGACGCAGAAGTTATTTGGACAAATTGTCGTACACTAAGAAATGTTTTTGGACCCGGCCCGGCCCGGCCGGTTGAACCGGTTGAACCGAACCTGGACCTAAAAACGGGCCGATTGAATACTTCAACCCGTTTAAGCAAATGGCCCGTTGAAACCCGTTGAAACCCGTCAGACCCGTCCCGCCCGTTAAACTCGTGCGACCCGTTGCA